GATAGAAGTGATCTTGTCTATGAAGTATATTAGAGATCAAATAGACTGAAGGATGAAAGAGTAAATAGATGAGAAGTTCTAGAAATAAATCACATGCCTAGCACAGAAACATAAAGGTGTGGTAGTGATTGGGGACTTCTGTGATCCAGATATCTGCTAGAGCACTCTTCCAGTCAAAAGTAGAACAACTAATTTCTTGACACATTTTAATTATATTTTCATCCTTAAAAGGTAGATGAATGAATTAGGAGATGGTGTGTCTTGGATCTCATTTTCACTTATAAGATGAAACTAATTTCTGGTATGGCAATGATGAGACTTTGAGAAGAAGTGAACACTTACTTCTAGTGTTTGTAATAGAAAAGAGGAAAACCATAGTCTGGCATCCACCTAGATTTAAGGAGAACAGATTTCAAAGGGGTTAGAGGAAATCCAGGTCTGATCCAGAAGGGAACTAAAACTCTGAGGAAAAGTCACCCCAGGAAGGATGAGAAAGTTTTTAAGAATGAAATCCTGAAGACAAAATGGAAAATAATTCTAAGGAGGTGGGAAAATGGGAGTTGTCTGAAGAGACTGATGAGGCACAAAAGAGCTCACCAACCAGCTTTAATTTTAGAAAGATATGTAAAGAATATGGAAGCAAGGGAGAGTAACAGAATGAATCCTAAAAGATCTTGTCAAGCTAGATCATTGTGTTGAATCTAGAAATATGGGATTTAATAGGGACAAGTGCAAAGTCTTATACTTAGGTGAAAAACATTAACTTCACAAGGATAAGACCTATGAGTCCTAGTTAGATGGTAGTTTTTCTGGAAAAGATCTGATGATTTTAGTAAACACAATATATATAAACAGTGTAACCAGGTACTCCCAAGGATAATGAAATCTTTGGCTGTATTGAGAAAGGCAGAGATTTTTCTGATTTTCTTAGTATATGTAAATGCTCATGTTTGTCAGTGATTTTCTAGCTCATAATAAAAAAGAAATAAAAAAGAAAGGCATTGTTTCTAAGAATAAAAAAGTGATAATCTTGCTGTACTCTGCCCTGGTTAGATCACATCTAGAATATTTTGTTTAGTTCTGAACAATACAATTTAGGAAGGATATTAATAAATTGGAAATTGTCCAGAGGATGACAATCACAATGGTAAAGAAATTGGAGTTCATGCCACACAAGGATTAGCTAAAGGCACTGGTAACAGTTAGCCTAGAGAAGACTCAGGAAGGGCATGATAGTTATCTTAAAGTATTTGAAGGCTGTGATAGAGATTGCTTTGTTTGTCTTCAAAGGAAAGAACCAAGGGCAATGGGTGGATTTGTCAAATGGCATATTTAGACTTAATGTAAGAAAAAATATCCCTAATAATTAGAGTTATTAAAAAATGAAGTGGCTATCCAAAAGGGGAAGATGAGGTAGTGAGTGGGTTTCCTCTTATTGGAGGTCATTAAGCAGGGGCTGGATGACCACTTATTGAGTGTACTGTCATAAAAATACTTGCGTATTCATAAATTGGATGCGATGGCCACTGAGATCCCTTCCAACTCTGTAACTCTGTGATTTTGTGATGAAAATGAATTTCATTATATTTTAACAGACAGAAAATGACTGGCTATTGATACGAGTCATTTCTGAACCAGTTCTGTCTTAGTTAGCTCATGGACTTCTTAAAGCAAGGATTAAAATCGATATGAAATTAGAAGAAAAAATGAAAACGAGAAGATATGCCAGGCAACTGAGGGAGCGCCATCCTGGCCTATTAAACAAGCAATACTGCCAATGAAAAATAGGAAATGGATAAAAGGAAAAAATTGATGTAGCCTGTCTCCATTTCCTAAGGAAGCTGAACTGTAACAAATCAGTTGCTGTAATGAGGAATCCCCAAATGTGTAGAATCCATTTAAACCAGTAAACACTTGAACTTCTTTCCAAATGGAGAAATGTAGCAGCCAAGGGCAATACTAATTTAAAATATAAGCTCATTTGCAAAATCTCATGGAGGAAGAGCATAGTAGAAGATTCTATACCACTTTCTGTAAGCCAGATCATCTCCAAAACACTTAGCTATGGACTTAGAAGGAACGCAAAACAAAGATAGGAAATAATCTCTAAAGATTACTACGACAAATCTTCCCCTGCCCCATGCACCTTCCTCACAATTAATGACAATGGAGCCACATTTGGGTCTTAATAGCATAGTCCCCAATATATTCAATAAGGAATTAGGGAAACCACTAAAAAAAGAAGAGAAGAGCAGCTGGACCATACCAAGAACATATATTTAAGGCAATACTCCATACATTAATAAAGATCGATTATAGAGAGATAGTGTTGCATAGTGGATAGAAACCTGACCTTGAAGCCTGCATTTGCCTTGTCTCTGACATATATTGTCTTTATGGCTCTGGGCAAGTCACTTAGCTTTTCAGGACTATAGGAAACTTTCTAAGTTGCAGAAAAAATGCCTGCTTTTTGTACAGTAAGTTTTCTTATCCAGAAGTTCCCTATGCCAATGAAATCACAATTTCAGTCCCTATCCTTGTCCTGTGGTTGATGAAGGTGTGAGAAAAGAACAGATAGATATTTTCAAATGATATTCTAGAAGATATCATATCTTTATAGTCACACAAATGAATAAACAGTGTAGAAAATACAAGAAATCTCTATTTGTTGGCTACAAAAATGATCTGATAAAACAAAATGCTGCCTTTCCCCCCTCTTTTAAACAGTATTTTATTTTTTCCAATTACATGTAAAGACAATTTTAAAAATTTACTTTTATATAAAATTTTGAGTTCCAAATTTTCTCCCTCCCTCTCATCATCCCTCCCTAAGATGGTAAGCAATTTGATATAAATTTTATATGTTCAGTCATGTAAAACATATTTCCATATTAGTCATGTTGTGAAAGAAGAAACAACAAAAGGAGAAAACCATGAAAAAATAAAAGTGAAAATAATATGCTTTGAGCTGTATTCATACTCCATTAGTTCTTTCTCTTGATGTGGATAGCATTTTCCATCATCAGTCTTTTGAACTTGTGTTGTATGGTTTTGCTGCTGAGAAGAGCTAAGTCAGTTATAGTTGATCATCACACAATGTTCCTGATGCTGTGTACATTGTTCTCCTGGTTCTGCTCACTTCACTTTGCATCAGCGCATGTAAGTCATTCCAGGTTTTTCTGAAATCTGCCTACTCATCATTTCTTATAGCACAACAGTATTCCATTACATTCATATACCACAACTTGTTTAGTCATTCCCCAATTGATGGGCATCCCCTCAATTTCCAATTTTTGCCACCACAAAAAGAGCTGCTATAAATATTTTTGTACATGGGGGTCCTTTTCCCTTTTTTATGATATCTTTGGGATATAGGCAAGGTATTGCTGGATCAAAGGGTATGCACAGTTTAATTTCACTTTGGGCATAGTTCCAAATTGCTCTCCAGAATGGTTGGATCAATTCACAACTCCACTGGCAGTGCATTAATGTCCCAATTTTCCAACATCCTCTCCAGCATTCATAATTTGCCTTTTCAAAAATATTAACTAATCTGATAAATGTGAAGGGGGTACTTTAGAGTTGTTTTAATTTTCATTTCTCTAATCAATGGTGATTTAGAACACAAAATGCTGCTTTTAAGGAACTTTTCTGACAGTATCCATACCCTGCCTATATTCAAATTATCAAAGACTTCTTGAAAGATGTAATACAATATAACTTTGTTCAACAATACTCTTATCATAAATATTAAGCAAGGCATGAAACAGGGAAATATGCTTGTCAAAGGTGATTACCAACTCTGTGGAGGATGTCATGCATAGAGACCAAATTAAGGAAGAATTGCCACGGACAGTGAAGTTATTCAGATGTTCTTGTTTTTAGATGACATTTTATAGATTGTACTAACCCCTGAAACATCACAGAACTTCCTAAATAACCTTCATGCAAAGTTCCACATGGGAAAAACCAAGTGAATGAAAAATGCCTATTGTTCAACCCAGGATATTCATGGTGGTCGATCAGTACATTCTTCAGATGGATGATGAATTTATCCAAGAATTGAATGGGAAGAGAATGAACTGGATTGCTTTGGGGAAATTATGCCATGCTTTTAATGACCCTAAGCTTCTCTTTCAAACAAAGACTCATCTTTACCAATATTCTTCCAATGATGCTATATGCTTCAGAAATAGGGAAGACCAATCTCCAAATAATTAAAATTGTAGGTCACTTAGAGGACAATGAAAAAATATGTATTTTCATGAGCAAACATATCATTGACTTAGAACTACAGAGAAGACGCAGTGCCAAAGATATTATCAAAGATATTTATAGTTGGAAAAGTAGAAAGGCCAGTCACATAGTAAAAGAAAGGGATAGTTGCTATTCAGCCTGTGTGATCCACTGATGCTCATATAATGTCATACAATGTCAAGAGATTTAGAATAACTGCTCCCACACTTCTAGATGCAAAGGGGAAGAAGGGACTTTTCTCCACTTTCCTGCAGTCAGGTTAATGGTGGGTTTAAGAAGAGGAATAATTATCTGCCATCTATAGCCTCACTTGACCATATCTAGCAAAAACTTTTATAGGGGCCCTAGGGAGCTGATGAGTGCAATCTGGGGAAACAATGTAAGGGTAACTGCTGATGTTACCCTTCCCCACCAATTCTCACTTGTCCTATACTGGGTCCTATCCTCTTTAGGAATTATCTAAATGTCTCTGTAGTGCTTTGTTCAAGTCTTAAGTGACTGAGTAGGAGGCAACATAGGGCAATTGAAAGCACACTGACTGTGAAATCAGAAGATCTGATTTCCAATCCCACATGTGAGACTTACTTGTAACCTTGGGCAGGCAATTTAACTGGATCTCACTGTTCTCATCTGTAAAATGAAAGGCTGAGACTTGATACCCTCTGAGGTCCCTTTCAGCTCTAGCTCTGTAAACCTAAGTAAGAAGATCTCAATTGGCTCTGAGATTCAACCTTTCCTTCTACCCATTTTCCTTTTAGTTCTTCTGGAAGAAGCAAGGCTCTTCTTGGAGTTCTTTGACTGTAGGTTTCTGAATTACTCAGAAGTGGAGCTGAAGCACTGTGGTGATGGGCTGCACAGTAGTAGATTCCATTGTCTCTCACTGATGGCTTGATAATTTTAAGCGTGAACTTATTGTTGGCAGAATCAATCTCACTCTGAAAATTCTCCATGTCACAGAAGTTTTCATCACATATAAATGTCAGAGTGTTGTCCTGGTTCTTTCTGTACCAGTACATGTAATAGCTATGCATATGTCCTCCTGTCATGCTGCACTTGAGTGTGCTGATCCCTCCAATCAGGACAGTCACAACCTTTTCTTGCTGTTCTAACACAATCTCTGGCATGACTCCTGAAAGGAAAAGAAAGGTCAGTGGGGGAGCTCCAGCTATGCTGGGACTGGAGTTGTTGAGCAAGAACCACTGGGAATCTCCATCCTCCACCCTCCAAAGCAGAAATCTCAGGACACAGATCTCAGGAGACCTCAGTCTTTGCACCTCTGATTATTTTGGCTATTTTTGTTCTGAAGTCCAAGGACTAGTTCTTACCTTCACCAAAAAGAATGAAGCAAATGAGGGGGTAGATCCACTGCATGGCTTCACTGTAAGAGTGACTCTGCCTTTGAACTAGTCAGACAGTTTCCTTCTCTTCCAAGCCATCACATGTTCAGTTGACAACCTTTCATTTGAAGAAACCAGCCCTGATCAGCTGATGGGCCAATCCCAGGAGAAGTGTTTTGTCAATCACAGAAAGAACACAATGCCTGTTACCTTTTCATGTGGAATAACCAACACCAGGTAAAGTGAGTCAAAGGAGAGAATTGGTTCAACAGCAGGCTTCTAATTTTTCTTTTTATGTGTTAACTAATAACTATGTCTCTCTGATGATATAATTAGAATTAATCATTTTCATATCAGATGTTTCTGCTGGATGCTTGGTTGGTCACCTTGACAAAGCTAATAATGAGCAGGGGAATTATTGTCAATCTCAAGTATTCTAGCCAGCATGATCATTGTATTTAGTGTATTTAGATGGCTTTATTTTGCCTTTTAGGCAAAGTTGGAGGAGGTGATTTATCTCAGTACAATGAAACCCCATATTATTTAACTTGGACTGAATTTCAATTCAACAAATATTTGGGTGGACAGGCATGATAGCACAGTATGTGGTAGCAGAATGCTTAGCACATAAAAGACACTTAATAAATGCTAGTTGACTGACTTGAGTGATTAATCCATGATATGGGAGAAAAAGGATGGTGGATAGATTGAGCCTGTTAGTTCTCAGCTGCAGTAAAACTAAAGCTGATCAACTATCTATACTTTCTTATACCAATATGATGAACCTCCTGGAACAGGGTGCCACCAGGATGCCTAAGGAGGAAGAAGCTGGCCGAGGTTGGAAATGGAGAAGGTCAAATCTTCTGTCGTGATGGTCAGGGCCTGTTGCAATCTGGTCTGGGAGAGTTTCAAAAAACAAACAAATAAAAACAACAAAGCTCAATAACATCAACACCAAAACCTCTAACACGTCTATTAAGTATCTAGAATATGTCATAGGCATTAGGGAAAAAAGATAAAAAAGTGGAAACATATTTCCTGCCCTCAAAGAGCTTAAATTTTATAGAACATGAACTAAAATTTCCTGACTTTTACTATATTTGCTTATTCTCTGTTTTCAAAAGTTATCTTTGTGAGACTATATAAGGTAAAGATATAAAAATACAGAAATATACCATTTGCATGTCAATCTGTATCAGCTTTGTTTCACAGTCTGAGTTTATTTGATCTTCAGAACAGAAATGTCAAATTCTTGTGATCTATTTGTTTATTTAATTAAAATTTCTTGAATTAACAAATATCTATTTTCCCTCCATCCCTCTTTCCTTTTCTTTTCTTCATCCCATTAAAAAAAGAAAAATAAAACAAAATCCTTGTAACAGATATGCAAAAATAAAGCAAAAACAATCCCACCCTTTTGAAATTCTTAAAATAGGGGAGTAATGAAACATGGGAAGTGAGGAAGCAGAGGCTGGAAGGAGAGGGCCAATCATATTGCCAAAGATGAATAAAGACCACTTTTGACTATGGCCAAAATACCTTCTCCCCTCTACCCCATTTATGTAACTACAACCATGGAATCCTAGCATTGAAAGGAATCTCAGAGGTCATATTAGGTTAATAATTATTAGTTGAATTGGTCTATTAGCCCAACTCTTACACTGCCTCAAACAGCAACCCCCTTTCCAATTTCTCTGACAAGAGATCAGCCTCTGCTTTAAGACCTAATGTCAGTGAGCAGGTATTTATTAAGCACTTACTCTACGCCAGGAACTGTGCAAAAGAAAAACAAGATCTTTCTCCTTGTCCTCAAACTTACATTCTAATGGGGAAAAACAACACATTTATTAAGTTTTCTTTTGTGTAATGCTATTTTCTATAGCATAGTTCCTTTCATAGAGGAGACACTTATTTTTGTTGAATTGTTCTTAGCATATGGACTATAGCTAATTTTTTCAAGATAATTCCTTTTGGGGGTAAAAGCAGGGTTTGGAATGGGTGACCTCTTAAGTTCCTTCCAACTCAGATTCAATTATTCTCTGAAAACAAAATTGCCTCCCTGGCCCCACTGGGGGGACAGATGGTTCAGAGTTCTTGTTTGAATGAAAAATCAATAAGGCAGGCAGAAGACAGGAAAAGAGAAAAAAAGTGAATTAATTGAGGAGGACCAGAAAGGATGTACTACTCATAGAGCCTGTGGAGATAGGAAAGAAGGGTATAGTTGAGGTTGGAAATAAGAAGTTGGGGACAAAAAAGATAGCTCTATCATTTCCTCCAGTAATTTGGGGAGCTCAGAGACAGTTCCATTTAGCTTAGGGGAAAAAGGCAGGATACAAAAAGTATAGATATAGATTTTTCAGAGAGTTATTCACAAATAGACTATACTAAATGACTAGGTAGAGATACTTAGAATTAAGAAACCTCTAAGAAGGATGTAACTGATAGGTTGGATCACGTTGGACTCTGTTTCTCCAGTTACTTTCCCTCTCTGTGCCTCAGTATTCTCATATGTAAAATTAGAGGACGATCTTGAAGGCTCTTCTGAATTCTGACATCCTGTGCATTTGTAATTACTGCCCCTATGTAGTTCATACTCGTATGTACTCATGGCTTCTGTGCAGTAAAATACTTGAAATATGTCCTATTCAATTTATCTTAAGTGACCCCCTTCTCAATGAAACGTTGTTAGTTACTCCAGTCCATATTGATTTCTCCCTCCTCTAAATTCCTATCGTACTGAACCATATGTATGACCATTTTTATCCTTAATCACATAGTTTTGCATTGTATTTCACTCTTTATATGTGTATACATGTGTGTGTGTATGACTGTGTGACTTGTATACTTAATTAACTTATAAACTTCTTAGAGGTGAGTATATTATAGCTGCTTCTTAGGTGATGCTAAATTAAATTGATATCATTTTTTGTTGCATTTTGATGCTGAAGGTCTCATGGCTAATAAGCGGCCAAACTGGGACTCAAATCCTGTTTCCCTGACTCTGCTGGCTAGTCCCAAAACACCTCTCCTGTTATGAACCAGATCCCAGCCTAGGAACTGGGAGAAGGGGTGGGTGCTGGTAAAACTTTAACAATTGGCTCTCCTATATACACACATACATACATGTATACATACATATAATATATATATAAACTTTTAAAGTTTAATTTGCATTATTAATATTTCCTCCATTACTTTCTTAAGTCTAGACAACTAACAAAACAGTAAATCAAACCTTGATTTGTAGTGGTTGCCTATTTTTACGGTGTAAATGCTCACCCTGAAAATTTAACAATTGACTCTCACGAGCTGGTCTGAGCTGGCTCCAGAACAACCCTGGTGGGGTAGGACACAAAGATGGGTAATTCAGGAAGTTTTGGAGCCCTTTTATGATGGGCCTTTCTTGTTTAAAGGTCCACAGGATTATTCTTACCCACACAGAAGAGTATGGATCAGACAAAGAGACAGGTCCGCTGCATAGTTTTACAGGGAGGGTGATTCTGCCTTCGGGCCTATGCCCAAATACTCTCCTTACTTTTTCAACCATCAAACTTCCAGTGATATATTTGTGTACTCTTGACCTTAACTGTACACTGAGGAAATATTTCTCAACTAGCAGCTGTGCTACCTCCAGGAGATATCTGGTTGGCTATATGTAGAGAGAGTCTGCTGCCTTTTCTTTCTTTTAGAACTGACTGATTGGGCACATTGCTTAACCTCTCTGGTCCATGGTTTTGTCATCTGTAAGAGTAGGGGGTTGGATTAGATGACCTCTCTCAGCTCTAGATGTACGGTCCTATGACAGTTCTTTTGCCAGGGCCAGTTTGGACAGGAGAGGTTTGCTATTTAACTCTTGACTGCTCCCAATGGATCTCTCTCTCCCCACATTTATGGATGTGACTGCTAGTTTTGCTACAATTTATTCATCCAGAAGGGAGCTGCTTCTGAGCAAGGGACTTACTGAGTTGTCAAATCCCCAACCTTCTGCAGCACCGAAATCACACGACTACAGCACAGAGTATAATAGAAGACATTAATATATCTGGCATTATTTTTAGTAGAAGCTAAGTGCCTGATACAGTCCTCTGCCCATGGTGGGCATTCAATAAATGTTGATGGCTGACTGAAAACAAATAAACACAGAAACAAAATGGGAAGAGGGATTTGAGTGTAATTGAGAATTTCAAGTAAACAAAAGAAGACAGTAAAAATATGAAAAAAAAGTTTCACGTCCCACTGTGTTATCGAATTCTTTGCCAGAAGGATGTAATAGGATCAGCTCTTCAAATAGAAAACAGATAAATAAAATAGTGTGAAGGAAATGAAATATGAAGACAAACAACATGTAAGAAGAATTGAGGACAAACAAACTGGAGAAGGTTAGGAAGGCAATAGAGGGTAGAAATTACAATGCCATGGAATCCTGTTCAGGGATGGGGACAATGCCCTTTTTCTTTGTCATATTGAAAGAGATGGATACCAGAGACCTGACTTCTGAGCAGGTGTTTATCTCCACATAGCCCCCATGCACTTTCCTTCCTCTTGGAACTGTAGCTCCCTTCACAATTCATTAAGAGCCCTTCATTTCCAGATTTTCCCAGTTATTGGCCAACACCTCTCTACCCTACCTCATTTGAAATCACTTTGCGTGCATTTTGTATATAATCACATATTTACTTAGTAGCTATAGGTTTAGGACTGAAAAGGATCTTAAAGGGAGAGGCAGTGTGGTATGGTAGAATAAACAGAGAAGATCTAGATTAGGAGGATCTGAGTTCAAATCCTTTCTCTAACGCTTTGTTGTTCAGTCATTTTCAGTCATGTTGGGCCCTTTATGACTCCATTTGGGTTGGGTTTTTTTTTGACAAAGATAACTAGAGTGGATTGCCATTTACTTTTTCAGGTCATTTTATAGATGAGGAAACTGAGACACTCAGGGTTAAGTGTCTAATAAGTGAGTGAGGCCAGATTTGAACTCATGAGACTTTCTGATTCCAGGCCCAGCCTTCTATCCACTAGCTGACTCTAACATTTACCACCTGTTCAAACCTGGGCAAGACACTTAGCTCTCCTACCCACAGTTTCCTCGTGGGCAAGGTTAAAGGGTTGGACTAGATGGCTTCTGGTGTCCCTTTTAGAAATATGAGCTAAGGCTTTTTAGTCTCGAATTTCATACAGGAGGAAACTGAGGCACTGAGACATTAAATGAATTAGACAAGATCGTATAGGTAG